CAAAGGGCATCGCTACTAGGAGCAAAGGGCATCGCTACTAGGAGCAAGGACGCTACTAGGGGCTCCTGGCATCGCTACTAGGGGCAAGATGGCCACTAGGAGCTAGGTAAGTCCAACTCCTGAGGTTCTGAGGGAGGCCATCGCTCGTAAGTTGGAGGCCATTCGCTAGTAGGTTGGCCTCCCCTGGCCTAAAAAAGATAAGGCAAGACATCAAAGGCAAGCGGCTAAGTTTGCAATCAGCGCTCTGGTGCTCGTGACTGGATGAGGCAAATCCCTTGGCTTCGGGAGCGACACTTTGGTTAGAACACGGTCTACATATGAACACTGTCAAAGCAAACAAGAAGCTGAACACCAAACATATCGATTCATGCAAACATCGGCGCAGTATCACCGGTAACTTGTCGAGATGCCGTGCGATGGGTAACACGGCTTCGACGCCGTGCAGCGGCTCTCGGATCACACCTGGCAAGCTGTTTGCCCCCCCGTCACCCGCTCCGGTCATCGGATCTCTGGGTTGGAGGCCATTGCTACTATGGTGGAGGCCATTGCTATTAGGTCCTTCGACGTAGATCTTCAAACCCTTCTGCTGTCCTTTTCATCCTTTGTTTCTACTCTTCAGTGGTCAATTTGGCCAATGCTAAATCTCTCCTCTCGACCTCTCTTTCTTCCTACTCGGCCTGAGTAACAACTGGTGGTTGCAGCATTTGGCAGCCCAGGCCGCACGATCACGGTGGGGAGCCGTGCTGTGCGACCATCCACAAAGCCCTTCCTCAAATCTAACCGATCTTCACGTCACCTGTTACTACTAGTACGGCACCTGTTACTACTAGCGTGGCACTTGTTTCTAATGGCTTTTTGTTACTACTAGTAAGGCACCTGTTACTACTACTTTTGGAGTCCAAATGTCTAGTTGAGTCTACTTCGGGTCAGAGCAAAACACGGAGATAATTTCTGTCAAATGTCCTGGTGTAATCATTCACCAAAAGCTCGCCGCAGGCTTTTGTCATGCCATACGTGTTCTTTGGCACAATCTTGTCGGTATCGCCTGAGAAGTTGCTGGCACGGAAATGACGGGTGCAAAAGAGTATGAGGTTGGAGGCCATCGCTACTAGGGTGGAGGCCATCGCTAGCATGAGGTGAGGACATGAAGTAAGGTGTCTCGGCGAAGTAAAGGCGTCTTTGGTCCTGAAAAGTCCAAAAGACAACGTTCAATTTGCAGGACCAAAATGACTGACCTCCGAAAAGAAGACATGAAATGGGTCAACTGGGTCAACTGGGTCAAGAAAATTACAGGGCAAAGGTGTGCTATCTCTCTGCGGTCTTTCCGATGTCGCTTCAGCTTTGCGCCTACGGGTGTTCCAGGCTCCACGTAGGTCTCGCCAAAGACAGCTAGAGATGAAGTGAAAATAAACTTTGGCGCTGGAGATGCACCTCGAAGGTTCGCAAAAGGATCAGGAAAAAAGCAAGGAAAAAAACAGGACCGCATGCGATCTCAACAAAAATGAAGGTGAGACTTGCCTTGTGCACGACACGCATCCAATAAGTTTCGAGTGCCATCAAGGTTCACCCGCAAACCTTTCATGGAAAGCAGGAATTTGCTGGTTGATCCTGTGTGGCATCTCCAAAGGTTTGCGAATCAAAGAATCGAACCTAATAGCGATGGCCTCCAACCTTCAAACCAAATCAGGAGCCCGACCACCCTAGGCCGCCCTAGCCTAGATCAAAGTCTTTTTCAGCTGCGCCACTCATCACCTGTGAGCCAGAGCAAGGACGCTATCAGGGGCTCCTGGCCTTGCTACTAGGAGCGAAGGGCATCGCTACTAGGAGCAAGGACGCTACTCTGTGTCGCGTGTCGTGCTGCGCCACTCTGAGACTTTGACTCCCGCGAGGTGAAAGACAGAGGCGTTTGGGCGCATGAGTCTTTGGCAGGTTTCTGCATTTGTGAGATCTCCAGTCTCGATCACAACCTGAAAACAGAAAACAACCGACTCTCAAAGAGGGTGCGTCTCTGTGATCAAGTTCTCTCACCTTGGGATGAGCATTCACTCCGCTAGTGGTCGCAGGCGCCACGTTGTCAAAAAGACAAATCCTGTCTTCGGCGCCGAGAATCTGGATAAGACATTCATCGTAAAGCTAAAGCACATCACATGCATAACTCGCATCATGCCATGATGTCACCAAGATGTCATCTTTCTGGGCCCCTAGTAGCGTCCTTGCTCCTAGTAGTATGGCCAGGAGCCCCTAGTAGCGTCCTTGTCCATTTCACAATTAAACATAAAGTCGAAAACGAATCCTCCAAGTCAAATGGCCTTTGAACTTCCTGCATGACTCCACTGGAAGTCTTCAGCTCGCCTTTCTTCAATAGGTGCCTACACAAGTACGTGTTGAAAGGGTTCGACACTTGCCGCGAAAAGCGACGCAGTCTACTCAGTCTACTGTCACAAAAAATCCGCAACAGTCTACTGCAAGTACCCAGCAGACATGTACCCAGTGTACTCACAGTCTTGCCCACAGCGGAGTGAGGGGAGACATGTCAATTCCGTGGAGGGTACTCGGCAAGTGAGTAGCCAGACTGAGTGCTGAGTTTGGGCCGAAAAACAAAACGATGGCCTCCAACCTAAGAGCAGCAATCAACCATTTTATACAGACGGGTGCCATGAGTGGTCCTCTTGAAATGAGTGGGAGTACAGGGTGTCGCACAAAAACAGAACCAATGGAATACCTAAGAAACAAAAATAAGACGAAAGCAAAGTGCTTAAGCAAAGCCTTATGAAACAATCTTGTCATTCGGTGGTAGCTTCTTAGCCACCCGGAAGAAATGTTTGGATCACAAAGTACTGAGATCATCAGCTATACTGCTCACACTTCATGCAACCACAACAGGACTGCCTGCATAGCTCTTGCCCAAGAAATCCCTGACCGCCTGACAGACTCATGTTGCAAAACCATGCAAAACCGAAAATATCCAAAGACAAGTTGCTTTTGAAGCGTTTGTTTTTTCACCGAACGTACCAGTACCGAGTACACGAAACGCACCTGTGATAATCACCTCCATGACGCGGACTTTGGGCGACTACAAATGGCTAGCGGTGGCAGCAATAGCTTTGTCTCCAACCCACTAGCGGGCCTCCAACCTAAGAGCAATGGCCTCCAAACAGCTTGTAAACTTGTCAGCAACACGTTGGAACGCTTTGGTACAAACTGAAGATGTGAACGGAGAGTGCCCAAGATCCTTCGTGACGGAAAAGCTGAGCCTTGAGCCCTTGGCCCCATGCTCTCATCCGTGCCTTTCGCCTGCTCCAAAGCTTTGACCACATCTTTTTGGTAGTGCAACATTGGTGCAAATGATGGCGCTACTCCAAGCGTCAACTTTAAATGGCCCTTCTGGTTCCCTCGACATCTTTATCGTGCACATGATTCTTGATATTTGCCAACGTTTTGGAGACACCTGAGCCATGTCGAAGAACTGTGTTCATCAAGAAATTCTATGCCCTCTCCCTTTGTGGGAGCGTTCTCTGCGTAACTGTCAACTTTTGATCTGATTGGAAGCCTCTCAAATACTGTCCACAACACTTCACATGTGGTGCCACATGATGCTCTCACATGCTCTTTGAAGCTTGCTTGACTTGCTTCACTTGCTTTGGGCTTCAACCTTGCACACGATACATGTGTCAGGCGCCTCTCTTCGCGCCTTCGAGCTCTTTGTCCATGTGCACCGTATGAACCTGCAAGCCGCATGTTCACCCCAAACACCACCAGCTTGGCGGAAGAGACGCCCTTAGAACGCACGACCTGGTGATACTGCTGATCTGTATCACTTCTTTGTTTCTTTAAGCTGTTACATGTATACCGTATATCTTTGCCACATCACATGTTTGGTGAAAAGGCCGCCCAGTGACAAAATGCTCGCCAAGCAGCTCCAACCCGATGCACTTCTGCATTGCTCTGAAGGGCTGGCGCGCAACTCGGCTGGAGTGGTGAAGAGGAAGCGGGATGGAAGCCTGAAACTCTTGTCCGCATCTCAATGAAAATGGAACTTGCGAGGATGCCTATCAAAGCTGACACCTAGCGGGCACCAAACACATCTTCAAACCTTGAGCTCTTTTGGAGACGCTTCCAGCATTCCTGCGCTTATTTGGAGACGCGGGCGCCGGGAGGCAGCCGATACGTCCCATAAATGCTGTCCATAAGGCCCATGACTCCAAAATTCACATTAAATTTGGCATGATGTTCATCATGCATGCCGTTGTCGTCACAAAACCAGTACCCTGAGTGCACAATAAGAGTGTGGATAGTGCCAACAAACAAAAACACACCCACAGCTGCAACATGCGACCCACAAATCATTGGACCCAACATGACCGGCAAGATGTTGGACACCAAGTGCTCGAAGGGATGACAATAAATGGCCACAAGAGATATCGGAGCAGTCCAGGTGTGGTGAATCTTATGCACAGCCGCGTACATCTCTTTGTTCTCATGGAGCCACTTGTGCACATAAAAGAAGCAAACCTCTTCTACCAATAGCCAGACAAAGACATCTCTTGCCAAAATGTCTGTCGTTGGCAACCTATGCCAGTCATAGGAAGATTGTGGTAGTCCAAACCACATCGCCGGCAGCCCTACAAAAACCTGCATGGTGAAGTTGCATGCAATCAGGGGCAGTGACTCAAAGAGCATGTTCGTGTCCAGGTCTTTGTTTGCCTGGATCTTCCAACGTCTCACTTTGAAGAGCGCCGGGAGGGCAAAAAGGAGTCCAAAGCCCCAAAAGGAGACGGTGGAATTCATAGTGGCCAGGATAGCGACAGCCAAGCGCCGTCCCATGAAGGATTCAAAGGCCTCAATACTCGGAATCATCAAAGGCATGAGGAATTCCATGACCACTTTCTCGATCAAAAGCAAGCCCGTCCACGAGGTCATCAGGTTCAGGAAGCTGGGCCCGAGCATATCCCTCCGAAATAAAGCATCTGCTACCCGCATGGCCCCCAAAGGATGCAGGCGAACACACGGACACCCAAATGCCCCAAGGGGTGCTGAGAAACAGCGGCCGTCAGTGTTCTCATGTGTTCTTTTTGTCAAAAATGTCTTCCTCATGTCCAAGTCAAACATAATCTAAGAGCGATGGCCTCCACCCCAGTGGCGTCGGCCTCCACCCTAGTAGCAATGGCCTCCAACCTACTAGCGATGGCCT